TCGCTTCGATTTATTACGATTAATCGCCAATTTTTTTAGTGATTTCGAGGACATGGATATTTAGATGTTGCCCATTATAGACTTGAGACCTTGAAATATACAATAAAATAACGAAATTCTTATGGTGAATAATAACTACTCTTATATTCTAATCGTTATTATTATTATTACTGTAGAATCATTCAGAGTAAGGAATACGATTTGGTTTTTGCATGGCTATTCTAGATCTTGATTGACTGATTGCATAGTAAATATGCAAAAAAATTCCATTAGTTGTTAAAAGTTCGTCATGTTAAATATTTTTTTTTGTTTTAATATCTTCTTTAAAAAGTGAATTCGACAGGATTGAATTATATTCAACATGAAATAGTACATAAGATTCGTATGGATACTCTATCAATTAAATAATTTGAACGAAATTCTCGAGAGAAAAAAAGATCTGCTTGGATATGATTTAATACTTATAAAATGATTTTTCAAAAACGATTTTCTACTTAATAAGAAATAAAACTGAAATATTTATTCATTCGTTGTCTAATCTTACGAGTCATTAAGTATTACATTTGAAACCCGATCCTTTCGATCATAGTAACCAAAATAAACCGAAATGACGTATATTAATGTTTGGCATCCACTTTCTAATGCTTTCATACGTAAATACCAGTTGACAACAACATGTTTTTTTTTCATTCTCTCGTCTTTTATAAATTATTTCTAATCTGTCGATGTTAGTTTTCTTAGTCATACAACATAAGAGAGTACTAATCTGATATTGTATGGAAAAGAAATCATTGAGCAATCAACCAGCAGATCTTCTTTGTGATCGTATACATATTTGAATATTACTATGAATATACAGTCGCCGACAAAAGTCTCCACCCACCCAGATCTCAGCTACCACAGGTACTGGAGATCTGAAAATTTGTGTGCATATAATCCACCAAGAATTTAGATTATAGCCATGAGTTCACTCCGATTACTTCAATGCAATAAGAATTATAATGATCGCAGCCTTTTTTTGATACAAGGTTTTTGACCTGTAAAAACTGTCCACTAAATTTTGCACCGCTTTTTATCAAATACATGATTAAGTTTCGATATTTTGCTATATAACTGAAGCGTAGTGTAAGGTCTTTCTTCACTCAAAAGATCATGCTATTCGCTGCAAAATTGCTGCCTTTGAAGATGCCTGAGTCGTTGGCGCCAACACGATAGTGCATGGCACACCATTTCTTTTTGGAAGATGCTTCTTTTGTGAAGCTTGTAGGCAACAATGCTCAGCTACAAGCAAAGTTTCTCTAAAAGTTTGAGCTTGATTTATTGAAGAATTATTCAATTATGTTCGACACAGTGCAATTGGGAGGTTTTCGCCCTTCGAATAGTCACAATGAAATGCCCACAGTTCTAGTCCGGATTTATGGACTTCGATGAAATTAATAGCGTAGATAGCTAGAGTATAGCTGTGAATAATGAGGAATCAGCTATCCTATAAAGCCTTTTCTTTTCTGATACATAAACCTCAAAGAAAAAAATAAGTGCTATCCATTACTATACTCCATAATTCTTGTTGTATGTTAGCAATCAAAGCAAGCTCATGGTTATGATCTCAATACTTGGTGGATTCTATGTACACGAATTTTCAGATCTCCAGTACTTGTGGTAGCCGAGATTTGGATGGGTGGAGACTTTTGTGGAATACTGTAATATTCATCATAGAATTGTTGATGTTTGCGGACTAAAATCAGAATATCAAAATTGAATTCATTGTTTTCATGTATGCATTTTTCAAGACATCCTACTTTTATTTTATAGTTTATTCTATATTTAGAATGTGACAACTGTCATTTTCTTTGCATCTCTTATTGAATATGATGAATTCATCGCCGACAATTCTTCTAAACAAGTTTAATAAATGAAATAAAGTGCATAGAAATCATAGTAAAAAGTTATGTTTTAGGACTTAATTGAAGAAAGTTTGGCATTATGTCATGTTATTTTATCATCGAATTATTTTTCGAATGTGTCTTTTATTGCAGCAAAAAAGATTTGTCAAGAACAAGTATCTGAATTTCATATCAGATAGCGAATATCTGAAGAGCAGTATCGATTCTCATTTTACATGCTCTATCGGTCAAGTTTTTGCACATTCTTTTTATTTGTCTCTAAGAAATATATATCTTCCAGAGATGGGCAGCTCCGACTCCGGAGCTAGCCTCGCTCCATGGAGCGGAGCGGAGCGATTAATGGAAAAGGTGGAGCTGGAGCGGTATTTTTTTTTTATTGAGAGCGGAGTCGAAGCGACCTTTTTTCTCTAGCTCCGACCATACGCTCCTTTTTTCGCTTTTCCCATATGAAAAAAGTTAGAAGAGAGATCAGATTAAAATCTTTGCAAATAATAATTGAAAACCGATAGAAGTTGTACATCTTCTTATCAGCTTTTTGTCGAAAGTAACCGGGAACTTAGATTTTTATACATAATTTCGCTCGGCCCCGATTTTTATCGTTTGAAATTCAATGAAAAGGATCGTTTCGTATTGGTTTTTGTGTGTAATTATAAAAACTCTTCATCTAATTAGGATCAATATACATCGACTGTAGTTGACGTATTTCATATTCTAACAGATTTCAATCGAAGTTGATAGGATCTATCCAAAACTGAACGAAATCGATCGAAATGCTATCTGAAATATTGACCTTTTATAGCGATTTTCGATTAAAAGTGAATTAATGGTTTACGAATTTTAAGTTTTTTAATCTGATTTCGCTCGTTATTTTTTACATGAGTTTCCTTCTGTGAAGAAAAACAAGAGAATTAATGAGGAAAAAGCTCGCCATTAATTATTCACTATAGTGAATATGTCATTCCTACATTTTGTATGAATGGCGGTGTTTGAAATAATGGTTGACCATTCATTGAGTTCATTGTTCTTTGTTTGATTTCGACTCTCGAAGAATATGCTCTCAATGCTAACTTTATTATAGTGTAAGCGATAATTACTACAATTCGCTAGTCTATTTGTCATTGTAAATAATCCTCATAATGTAATCAAGTCAGCTGAAATAGATTGATGATTGATTTTTTGTTACATACATTGACAACTACTTTTTCTCTCAAATAAGTTGATGAATTTTTTTCTTAAATATATTGATACTCTTTTTTCTATATTGCGTGCGTGTGTTTATATATGTACAGAATTAAAACATGAAATTCACTGAATATCTTTAAGATTCCAGAAAACTAGAAAAAAAACTTTTTGCTATAGCGGAGCTCGAGCGGAGTCGGAGCGGAGCGAGTAAATTTTTACTGAAGCTAGAGCGCAGCTGGAGCGAGAAATGGTCGGAGCTGTCCATCTCTGATATCTTCCATTTGTATAATTTTAGATAATAAAAATATTCGAATCGTTTTCGAAGAAGTTAAATTCCAAATTTTTGGCGAGATTCTGAACAGGCTTTGTACCGTATAATCACACGAAATTTTCAATTTTTATTATTTATATAAAAGCAATCAATATCTGATCAAGAACAGAACGATCGAGATGTTATGGTCCTGTTTCAATAAGTCAATACAAAAGCGATATAAAAAATGTACAAAAAGAACAGAACAGAAAAGAAAACGAAAATACTTTGCAGTGGTGTCGTCGTGTAAATGTCGTTAACACTATTGACTGCATTTTTTAAAATACTGAGTAAACTTTCGCATTTTCAAAACGAAGCTTATTCTTCCATCAAAATTGAATAGAACAACAATGGCATGTATATACTTGTGTTCTTTTTATTTTAATTTCAATATGTTGCTGTCTATTGATAATTTATTTAATAAATTATATATATATATATATATATATATTAATTGTATTGATACAGATAACACATAGGAAAATAAATTAACGTTACAAAACATTTTTGAATAAAGAAAACATATTTTTAAATATTTTTGCAATTTTAATGAATGTGATCAAATCGTAGTTTTTGTTGCAAGTACTTGCAACGAGTACAGGTTGAAAAAAATATTCTCATCGTCAGCAGAAAAAACAATCTTGAATACATAAAAGATGTTATTTTTGTTAATATATTTCTTTTGAGAACCAACAGAAAGAAAAATAAGTAATAAATAAATCGCTTCATAATGTAGTAATGACTAACGTATAGGCACGGAATACGGAACTATTAACTTTGGACATATCATAATGTAGTAATGACTAAGGTATAGGCACGGAATACGGAACTATTAACTCTAGACATATCATAATTAAAGGTTAGTTAAAAAATTAGCTGAATTCGAATCATAATCATTTTTCTTAAGTTGCTACTTTACTATGATGTAGTCTGAATTTAATGCAAAGAAAAAACACCATTAATAACTATGTACAGTATTCCATCATTATTAACTCATTTAGAAAAATACTAAAAAAATTCAGTTGTTTAGTACTCTTGATCAGATTGAAACGTTATAAAACAACATATTTGCATCTTTTTTTTAAATTTCTTTTTCCTTTCCAGGATGTAGTGAAGCCCGTTTAATCTTGAATAATTTCTCAAATTTGTTATTTATTCCGAAAGAGTTAATTATTGAGTTAAACTATTCTAACTGTTCCTATATATTTAATATGAAAATTTACTTTTTATACAATTACTGTTTATCGTATTTCACTTCCTTTACTGCGACTGGTTTGTAGGAGAGAAAAGATTTTTCATTTTAATGCGAAGGCGATTAGACATGATCGTGTGTCTTTTTTTTTCGTTCTTACACCGAACACTTGCATAAAATCATGTTTTTTTCTCTCTTAATGGTCTCAGCAATCGTCAATAATCATTCTTACTGTACTACTCACCCATATAAGAACACGAAAGCAATAAAAGAAAATTTGCATCAGCAAAAAATATAGTTAAGTATATGATAGATAGGGCATCTTTTGGAGAATTTACATATGTATACATTGAATAGGCACTGCTGACTCGTTTTATTTTTTATACTAATAATTTAGATTATCATCATAAAAATGATGTTTAACCGATTTATTCCGTCTTGTTGTAAAGATTATATATGTGATTGTTGTCTAACTCCCATTGAAATTATTAATAAAGATATTAACGAACAACTTAAGCAATGGCGTCGAGAAAATTTACATGAGAGAAAATTACTTCTCTTAGGTAAGTGTTTACATTATGTGATAATTATGTTTGTAATAAGATTTTTTTAAAAATCGTTTGCATTCAGGAAATGCCGAGGCTGGAAAGTAAATTTGCATATAATTATAATTATAATTTTTATTAAAATTTCTCTTGTTAGATCGACATTTCTCAAACAAATGAAATTAATTCATGGTCAAGGTTTTAAAACAGACGAAAAACGTCGACTTATTCCGTTTATCTATCGGCAAATACTTAATGTTGTTCGATGTATTTGTCGAGCAATGCATATTCTTCAGATTAAATTTGAAAACGAACGGAATGAAGTATGATTATGAATACAATTCATGCTATAAAAATAGACAATCTTATTATTTATATAGGAATTTGCTCGTTTATTGAGTTTACCAAATGATCATGACGATGATGATGATGATAGTCTATCAACATTATCACCTCGAATGGTTGAAGCTATTCGATATGTTTGGTCCGATGAGGGTGTTAAAATATGTTATCGTCGACGACGAGAATATCGATTAGCAGATTCGGCAAAATAGTAAGTCTTGTGAATAAGTTACTGATAGTTTAGCAAATAAATACTTTGTCCTTCTTCATCAATGATATCATAATTTATTTTGTTCTTTATGTAGTTTTTTGGATGATATAGATCGAATTTCTGCAAAAGATTTTGAACCAACTGAGGATGATATATTAAGAGTACGTATTCCAACAACAGGTATCGTTCAAGAAGATTTTCAATTTTCTCATGTTCGACTTCGGTAAGATATTTTTCATGATAATTTATTAGCATATTTGCTATATACGAAATTCTTATCATAGAATAGTCGATGTTGGCGGACAAAAAACAGAACGTCGAAAATGGATTCATTGTTTTGATGTATGAGATTTTTAAGTTATCCTAAGTTGATTTATATCTCAGTTTTTATTTAGAATGTCACATCTATCATTTTTCTTGCATCTCTCATTGAATATGATCAAAAGATCGATGATCAACCGGATCAGGTCTGTAACATTTAAAAAGAAAATTTCTCAAAAAAATTATAAGAGAAATTTATGTTTTAGAATTTAATGGAAGAAAGTTTGGGTATATTTCGTATTATTCTATTATCCGATTACTTTGCCAGTGCGTCTATTATTCTTTTTCTTAACAAAACTGATCTATTTCCAGAACGCCTTGCTGGCAAGCCTATTCAACATGTTTATCCTGAATTTGATGGTAATCTTAGAAGAGCAAATAGAAATGAATGCTTATGATTTATTTCAATATTTGTTTTTTTTTCTTTTTTCTACGTGATTTATAGGTGCTGAAAATGATGTTCACGCTGCTAGAGAATTTATAAAAAATAAATATTTAAATTTAGTTCCAAGAAGTGAACGATATACAGAAAAAAATATCTATCCTCATTTTACATGCTCTGTCGGTAAGTATTTGTTTTATTTTGTTACTAGTTAATTAATTTATTCTGATTAAATTTAGATAGCAAAAATATTCGAATTGTTTTTGAATCAGTCAAAGATTCGGTTCTCGCACATAATCTCTACTATTGGACACCATATTGAATTCTCTATTATATATATTTATATTTATATGTATTTCTATTTGAAAAAAATAAATGTCAGATCGAAAAAAAAAAACAAACATAATCATGCATAATTTTTTTCTTTTATCATTCATTTCAATAACTCGGATACAGAAAAAGAGAAAACACAAACTATGCATAAAAAAACAAAAGATATCGTTTAATGCTCATCAACAGTTTCATCATCCCAATTCACCAAACTATGTCGAGCACTCAAACCATCTTGTTCGCCTAGTAACCAATATGTTCTTTGTTTTCCTTTACCCTAATAAATAAATTTCATAAATAAAGAAATAAGTATCATAAAGACAAACCTTCATTTCAATATCACCACGACATTTTAGTTCAAATGTACCAAATTTCTGTAAAATAGATGTTGTACTAGATGATACATGAATACGTAATGCTTTACCATTTGATTCCATTCGAGAAGCAGTGTTAACCTTTACAATTAGAAATAATTCAATGCCAGATTTATTGTTAATAAAAAAAAAAAGAAAGAAACAACGTACAGTATCACCAAATAGACAATATCGTGGCATTTTAAGACCAACAACACCAGCTACACATGGACCTGAATGAATACCTATACGTAATAATAATTGTATATCAGGTCGATGTCGAATACGAAAACTGAGCACAGCATTGAGAAGAGCTAATGAAAGACGAGCTATTTCTCGAGCATGTAAATCTCCATTACGTGTCGGTAGACCAGAAACAACCATCTATTTAATACAAATATCGTTAATCTTCGTTTTCTTTTCTTTTTTGTCTTGATAGAAAAATAAAAAAAAGGGCAATCTTACATAAGCATCACCAATTGTTTCAACTTTATAAACATCATAATTTTCAGTAACACCGTCAAAAACTGAATAAAGATCATTCAAAAGATCCACAACTTGTAACGGTGTACTTTCAGATGATAATTTCGTAAAACCAACAATATCAGAAAAATAAATCGTAACACATTCAAATGATTCAGCTGTTACAGGTTGGCCGCCCATTAATTGTGCAGCAACCGTTCTATTCAAATAGATTTCTTATTTGATATAATTAAAAGAGACAATATTTATAAAGGTTTATTTCATCGAAATTAATTATGACGAGGAAGAAAAAAAGAAAAATTAAAAACTTTTTGAAAACAAAATCTTGTGAGAGAATTGAAAGAGCAATTCAATGTATGTGCACAATTTACTTTTCGTTCATTTCATAAAAAAGTGTATTCCAGTTAACGGCTTTTTTTGTGTGGGAGTTTACTTTCCTTTGAATATGTCAGTGTAGTTCTTCTCTATACTCAAACCTCATACACTCCAACTCCAAAATATCGGAAAGAGAACATTGTAACAGATGAATGTTTAATGCAATTGTAGCAACGTTATAATGAAGGTCGTATTAATATTTTAGTGTCCTTGAAAGCTGCTAAAATGAGATATTTCCAATTTTCATGAACAAATTAATCAACCATTTCATGTTGCTTTTTTTTTATTTATATATTTATTGAAATTGTTTTGCTCTAACAACATATTGATTATCTACATGACTACTCATGTGTTCATTTCTCTTTTTCCAAATAAACAATGAGTAGTAAATTATGTAAACTAATTAAATGATGTGTTTATTTGTAAACCCTTTTTTTTATCTATTAATCATCATAACAAATAATAAAACGATCTTTCAGTCAATGAAAAATGCATTATTTAAAACAAAGCAGTCATATCATTATTCAGTTTGCCGACTATATAATGCAGTATTAAGATGAAATACAATGATAAACAATGGTATCTTTAACTGTTGAGAAACAAGAAACTCTATATGACTGTCAGTTGTATATCAAATAGAATGATTAATCATTATCGGCACCACTGTAGAAAAATGATCCGCGTATATGTGAGGCAGCGATGAGGGCAGAATTTTGGATTAGGAGAGCTCAGTCCCTTCCCTGTAGCGAGATTTCTACTATATATATTCTCTTTTGATACAAAAAAGTGTTAGACATTGTAATAAAACCTTTTTTTTTATTACATCCATATCTTATTTTGTGGAACTCATATGTGTTTTTGAAGAAAAGCAAATACAGTAAATATAAAACCTGATTGAAACTTACAGTTACTGTATTTTCTTTTCTTCCTAAACGCATATGAGTTACACATAATAAGATGTATGCGTTAAAAGTTTTGATTGCAAAGACTAATGTATTTTTGTATAAGAAAAGAATACATCTTTGAAAAGTCTCGCCAAAAGGAGGTTCAAAGGTCAGTAGGTTTTTTCGACCGAGACAGTGTTCATTTGATTAGTATCAGTAAGTAATAGAAAAGTCTAGAATGATTTGGTATTCCAAGTCGTTGTTCTTGAGATATGAAAGTTTTACTAAAGTTTCCAACAAAAAGCTATGGGCATGCATTATCAAGTCATCTTAAAAACTAACATTCGAGTTTCGACTTCAAACTTTTTACGAACAAAGTTCTCCGTGAAATTAATTCATTAGGACACTTGTAACTTTTCTAGTATTTTCTATCTTAACACATTGAACATTCAGAATTCTTTCATATGTAAAAGTAAATATTGTTCATAGATTTACATCTTCAGAAAGAAAATGCTAGATAAACTAAGAGTCACTCAATGAAGTAATCTCATTGAGAACTTTGTTCATGCAAAGTTTGAAGTCGAAACTCAAAAATCGATTTTTCACACAACCTGTGGGTGAGCACAGTTTTTTGTTGGAAAACTCAGTAAAATTTCGGTATCTCGAGAACAAAGGTTCGGAAAAGAAAATCATTCTAGACTTTTCTATTGCATACTAGTATTCATCAAATGAACACTCTATCGATTGAAAAATGAATTGACAACCAGAGAGGTTCCCGTGTGAGCCCTCCTCTTCGCTGACTTCGTCAATGATTTAAAGTAATCAGATAAATTTATACAATATACACGGTTTATTCTTTCATTCATTTGTTGTCTATCATTGAATGTGACAGATAGAAAATCGCCTCAAATTAGTAAAATTTTCCATTAGAAAAACTATTAATAAGAAAAAAAAATTTATAATATGTTTAAATACTTACGCAGGTAATAATTGATAAAGTAATTCTTCAGCTTTCTTTTTCTCAGCTAAATAATCACTTGTACGTTCTTCAACAAGACCCTTGAGAAAACAAAGATTTGAATTTTTAATTAATTTTAATGAAAATCAATTCTAAACTAACTTCAAGATTATTTGCATATTGTTCCATACGTTTAAGTAAATTATCAAGAATATTTCCGCTTTCTCCATCTCTGAAGAAAAAAAAAAAAAAAACAGAAGAAAATTCTTTTTCAATGTTGAAATTTTCATATTTACTTATTTATTCGACGCATAACTTGTCGAATATCAGTAAAATCTGGTCTTTCATTTGGATCTTCATTCCAACAACGTTTCATTAAGTGTCCTATTTCAATATTACATTCACCAGCATCAATTGATGGTCGAAGTAAACTTCCTGATTTAACATTTTCAACAATGGCTATCGAAAAAGAAACAAACAATTTTGTTAAATAACTTGATTCATAATAAAATAATTTTACCAGCCGGTTCTAATTCTTGGTCTCGTATATAAAAAGGTCCATTACGTAATTCAATTTCTTGTAAAATGATACCAAAACTGTACACATCACCTTTAACTGTACCTGCAGCTGGCGGATTAGGATCTCGTAATAATTCTGGTGCTGTCCATAATCGATCTAAAATGTAAATTAGAAAGAAAAAAAAAAACTTTTGTAAAAACAAATAATTAAACAAAAAATAATCATACTTCTATAATATGTATAATCTCTATCAACACCTGGCGATGAATCTTTATTATTATTTGATCGTAATGTTGGTAAACCAAAATCAGTTATTTTACAAATAAATCGACTATCAACAACACAATTTGAACTTTTTAAATTTCCATGTGATCCAATTTGACTATTATGTATATGTTGCATACCCTAGATGAAAATATTTTATTTATTTTAAATTAAATTTAAAAAAAATAAAATACTTTGGCAATATCATGCATGATGGAATGTTTAAACATTGTATCGAGTTTAATTTCATCATTTTCAAGAATATCCTTATTGAAATAAAACAAAAAGACAAATGAAAATAAAAATAATTTCGAAAATATTAAACCTGTAAACTGCCTTTTGGACAATATTCTGTTACTATATATTGATGTTTTGGATCAATACATATACCAATAAAACGAGCTATATGATCGTGTGTAAGATCTTGCATCTATAATATTCATTGATAAGTCTTTTTTTAATAAAAATGTTTTCTTTGTTCTACTCAACTGCTTTAACTTCTAATTGAAGTGCACGTGTTGTTTCAAGTTTTCCTTTATGAAATCGTTTAAGAGCAACAACTGATGACTAAAAATTAAACAAAAAATGTTTCTAAATAGAATAATAATTATTTTTACTTTATAAACAGCTGTTTTTGTAAATGTTTGTTTCGCTGGTCCACCTGATTCACTATCAGCTGAACGATAACTTGAAACAGAACTACGCTAAAAAATAAATAAGCAAAGAAAAAACAAAAGGAAAGTTAGTCTTCAATTCAAATTAAATAGGAAAAAAAAAACGAAACAACTGAGCACGAATAACATGCAGAAAAAAATAAAAAAAACTGTACACAAAGTATTGTGTAAATTAAAAATAAAAGAAGTGTTCAGTTATGTGTATATATATACATATATATATAGATGTGTTGATGTTTAATACAACGAAGAAATGATTTCAATAGAGAATAATAAATCTCTATAATCATTTCGGAGAGCGAAAAAGGCAGTGATAAAAACTCGTGCAGACCGAATAACAGGAAAAAATTGAGAGAGAGAGAACTTTTCGAACGAAAAAGTTCATGAAAAATGCTCACATACTCACTGACTTTCGTTCTGATAAATCCTGACAATTATTGGAAAGTAAGATAATAAAAATATAATTTATCTGATATATATA